TAGAAAACCCTTTCTTCGCACACAGTGGCATGTCCAAACCCAGCCTTATGTTTGCAGCTTTGCTCCCTTAATACCATCACTATGTCTTTCTTGAAGTAAATGTCCTTTCAGAGCCCTTAGAAACATGCCTACCTATTCCAGAAAGTTACAACATACAGGGAAAGAGAACAGTAAAGGAATATCAGGAATTGAGGGCATACGCCAGGAGAGGCTCCACTGAGAGCAGACATGCCCCCGGGAAATAGTGCCAATATTAATCTGAATCTCTCAGAAGTGGGCTCAACCCCACCAGTAACAACAAAGAGGAGCCCAAACCCTTCCAACAATACTCTCTCACAGACACTCATGAACGAGCTGCTTTAGAAGCTCACATTCATCCAAGAGGTGGTGTCAGTGGTGGAATTAGTCACACCTGCCAGTGAATAGCAAACAACAGCTGTATAGACTCAAGTGAGTTATTGGTTGTAGGCTACAATCTCCCAGGAAGCAAACTATGCAATTTCTGCTGCTTCCAGGCCAACTGAAAGGAACTTAAATTTGCAAATGATTAAGTGTCTTAATTGTAGCATCTTAAAGCATTTCATTACCATAACCAATACCCAAAGGCTGGGAGAAGGCCAGCTGCGGCATTCAGAGGCTCTACCCTAAATTTTAGCAGCCATGACATCTTCCTTCCCTCTCCCTCATCATCAGATCCTGCCTGTAGATTCTCATTGCCTGATGCAAGCTACTTTGTGGAAAAGGCATCCCTAGAAACCAAAGCTTCTGACTCCCAGTATTCCCTCCTGCTTTACCATTGTTCCTTTGCTTTTATGTAAGAGAAAAGGGGAAATGTAATAATTATAAGGTGTTTAATGGATTTTTCATGACATGACAACATTTAATTTCATGAACCCAGTTGCTCTTTAAGTATGTCCTGAAAAATGCAACCCCAAGGAAGATTCTGGGGACAACACACTAAAAAGAAACAGAACATGTATAACATGCCTTCAAGAAAATTATGTTCTGGGTCTGGAGGCAAAACCTCCATCACACTCACAAAAGTCATTCACTGATATTTATGAACAAATGCAATGAGCAAAGCATTGTGCTAAATTCTTTTGGAGAAACTACAATAAGACAGCAATTACCCTCCACCAAGGAGATAATAACTGAGGAGAAGCTGGGCTTGCAAAGGACTGCAGAGACCACCCAGTGAGCTCTTGACACTCAACCACACCCTGGCCAAACAACTCTGGTGGTGCTCTGCCTAAAAAGATTCCAATTTGTCTACTTCAAACTTAAAATGTAGGGCCTAGGATTGAACACAATAATCTAGGTGTGGCTTTCCTCCTTTTTCAAGATACGTTTCTTTCATTGAACCTAAAATCTCATAAGCTCTTTAAACACTCATATTCAGATATGTGAAGACGCCAAATAAGACTTAATTTTTCCCCACATATCTCCCCTATTCTGGTACTTTGCTTTAACAGTTCATTTGAGAGCCCAAACTCAAGTATAATCTTCTTAAATTTAATCTCTTCTGATTTGGCCATATTGTAGCTGATCAAATATTAGGTCATCATGACTCGATGATTTTATTGTACTGTCCTTCCTAGTTCTGTCTCCTACAGATATGACACATGTGCTTTCTATATCTTTACCTACATCACTGGTAAATATTTTTGCTAAGTATCAACTACAAAATTAAGCTCTGTGGAGACACACAAGAAACATTCCTCCAGAGGGACATTAGCTCTTTTGGTAAAGGTGTTCGGCACAAAGTCAGTATTACAAGTCTTTCCTTAATTTAAAATGCCTCATACTTAACACATTTTCCTTATTTCTTAAGTCAGGGGAAAAAAGGTTTGGGGGCAGGGGGGGTGGCTCTTAAATGACCTCATCTATTTGCAGTGAACCCAGGCTGACTCAGAAACAACTGCTGGTTTACTATCCATCCTTGTAATAAACTGTATTAAAATCTCATTCCAAATTGCAAAAGTCATCTTGAGTTAGTAGGGGAATGCCAAAAGAGAAGAAATAGCACTTCAGTTTGGCCAAGCACAGGACACTTTTAGAGAATAGTAAAGGAAGGCACTGAGATTGGAGTATAGAAAATCTCAAAGACTCCACTTAAGAGATTAGACTGAACTCTGGGGGTGGGGAGGGGGGTGAAGATTAGACTTAACTCTGAAGTTAAGAAAAAGCAGTGAATGGTGTGTGCTTCGGTGCAGTAAGGGGCATGACTGGAAAGAACATCTAGAGAAAACAATCTGACAGAAAGCCAAGAAAGGTAGGATTCTAGGCAAAAGCTAGAATTATAGAGATCAGGTCTTTAAAATGATTTGAGAAAAAAGTTTAAATAACTTGACTAAAATGGGAACATCAGAACACATGATAGTGATAGAGATACAAACTAGTGACTAATTAAACAAAGAAAGAAGCTAGGAAAGAAATCAGTGAGGACTCTGAGGCCCTCCAAGATGGTCACTGAGTAAAGTGAAGAAGACCAAAAGAGAAACTGCCTGTCCAAGTAAAGAAAGAGATAAATTAGTTTCAACAAAGTAATCATGAGCTTCCAAAGGGACATTCAATATGTACCTGCCCTGAAGTCAACTAGTAAAAATGGCCCTTGAGAGAAAGATAAAGTGGACTTGGAGACAAACTGAAAATATCTGTATTTTTGAGTTGAGAGGAGGGAAATAGGCCAGAAAATGACCCAGGGAAAGGCAGCACAGCAAATCTGGATAGAACTAGGTTAGAGAAGTCAAAGGGAGAGAAGCTTTGAAAAAGAAAACCATCTCAAATGACAGAGTGGTCAAGGAGTGGTCAAGGATAAGAGCTGAGAACCGGCTATTAGACTTTGTGCTCAGAAAACTATCAGAGATCTTCAAAAAAGTATTTTAGACTAAGACGTCCTTCTCAGATGGCCATGTTGGTCAGCAAGCAAAAATTTAACATACTCACTCAATGATCCTACTCTTTGACTAAACATCCCATTATCTGCTCCATTCTCCTTCCAAGATACTTCCTGACTAGAGGGCTACTCCCACAATGCAGTTCTCTCATACTTCAGCTCTCAGCCTCCCCAACTCACCCACACCTGTTTGATTAAGACTTAGCCTCCGTTGACAGATCTTTATCTTTGGAAATGCCCCTGGCTATGCCCAAAAAACCAAGTTAAGCAAAGGATTAACTAACATACTCCCACTGATGCAGTCAAACCAGCACCTAGTTAAGAGACAGAAAATAATTTCAGGTAAACACCCTCAATGAGTTGCTGCCAAGATGCCCCAGTAATCCCCTAGTGAAAAAATTCAGCCTCTGTCCTGACAAATGCCTCTGCGCTTTCAAATGCAAACTCTATTCTTGAAAGAACTTTCCTATTACCTTGATACACCCAAGAAAATAAAACCAGCCCCCTAAACCAACAAAGAGCATCTGACCTGCCAAGGTCACGTGACAGTCCAAAGTCATAACTGCACAGAGAATCTCCCCCATTTGGGTGATGCCAGAGCTTTTGCTTCTATAGTTGAGTAGAGAATCTTTGTGAACTATTTCCTTTCTCTGAAAAGGTCAGTCAAAATAGTAATTAATTGTTGAGGGAGAGACTGCCATAGGAAGGGACCCAAAGGTCACTAAATAAAAATACCAGATGATCCTAAATGCACCATTTTTTAAAATTTATTTTGAGAGAGAGCATAAGCAGGGGAGGGGCAGAGAAAGAGGGAGAGAGAATCCCAAGCAGCATGGAACCCAATGCAGAGTTTGATCCCACAAACATGAGACTATGACCTGAGCCAAAACTAAAAATAGGACACTCAACAAACTTAGCCACCCAGGCACCCCTAAAATGGCCTATTTTAAAAGGGAGGGTTCATATGCAAAAAAAAAAATTTACCTTTCCTTCCATTCATATAAAATCATGGAATCACAGAAAGTTACAATCTGGAGAGGCCCTTAGAGATCAGCAAAAGGATCACCTCTGAAGCTTGTTTCAAAATAGACTCCCAGGCCTCACCCTACACCATGGGCTTACTGACCCAAACTCTCCAGACGTGTCCAATTAACTCACTCTATTTATCAGATCCAGAGAAATGACTTTCCTACAATCATAAATATTTCAAAGTATACTCCACTTGATTTCATGAGACCCAAGGCAGAAATCATATGGCTGATAATGTTATTAAGGACTGAATACAGGCCCTTATACAGGATTGGAGTCAACGAATTCTTTGAGGACTAATTTTATGTCATTTAGTACAAAGTCTTACTGAAACAGGTTTTTGCTCTCTGATTCAGGTGCCTGAAAATAGCATTCCTTTCTAAAGGGAAGGAAAATTCCACTGTGGCAATGCCTTCTTGATCACATGTAAGCACCAAACTGCTTTACAGAGCCTAATTTTCTGTCAGGTACTTTACAAGTTTTCAGTAGATACTAAGAAAATCATACAAGGGTAAAAAACAGTAAATCACACCACTGACCATCATTTAATTACTCCTTTTCCCCCCAAGCTGGATGAGTAGGGAAATAGGAGTGTTGGAGAAAGAGAACAGAGGTATGAGTACTGTTTGCCCAATGAAGCAGTACATTTCATACCCCTTTCTTTATCACAGAACTAAAAAATGCCATTGTGCTGGCATATCCTCCATGCCAGGGGTTCCTTGGAGGATTTAATAAAGTCACTCATACCAGGCCTCCTGCTTATCAGTCTGAAAGGACACATCAAAACACCTTGTCCTTAAAACCTCTTGGAGGTTCAAATGGAAGACAGTTAGACTTAACAAATCAACACACAGCTCCATATATTATAGAGCTTTAAAGGGGATGACGGTGGACGTGAGGGGCGTGATGGGGAAGAAGAACTCAGTGAAAATAGGAACAACTTGCTTAAAGATGCACAGGATGCAAACAGGCAAAGCAGAGGCATCTTGCCCCAAGCTTCATTCCCAGCTCCAGTTAGTTCTTAGCACAGGAGCACAGCCAGTGTCAGAAGAGCTAGACAAAACAGAACCCATACCTCATATCTGCTTTAAACAGTTCCTTTTTTCCAGTCCATTGATACCAATCTCACAGGACTAGAAGGTGGATTTCTGTAGCCACACTCTCTCCTGAAATCCCAATGCACTTGCAAAGCCATTTCCAACATCTCTGAGAACTAAAAAGTCGGGGATTATTGGTCCCATTCCAACTGGGTGTATACTGCATCAACATTTCATGTAATTATTGATACGGTTTAAGTCGACCACATTATCTCTGTTTTCTCTTTGTCAATCTTTTGTCCCTTTCTTTTTCCTATCCTGCCTTGTTACAGAATTGTCTTTAGAATATCTTTTCAATTTATCTATCGGCTTTTTGGTTGTATCCCTTGTCTTTTTGTAAAATTGCTCTAAAATTGCAGTATACATTCTCTCTTCGTCACAATCTGCTTACAATAGTGTACCACTCCATGTAAAATGAAGAAATCATACAACCATAGGAATATACACTTGTCATATATACTATATCTACATAGTCTTTGAAGTCTAAAGTACTATATTATAGCTTGGGGATTAAACAATTACAAGCATTTTTTTAATAGGCTTCACATCCAGCACAGAGCCCAACACATGGCTTGAACTCACAACTCTGAGATCAAGACCTGAGCTGAGATCAAGGCTCAGACAATTAACCAACTGAACTACCCAGGCACTCCAGTTACAATCATTTTTTTTAATTAGAGGAAGAAGTCTTTGTGTTTTTTTGTTTGTTTGTTTACCCATCTATTCATGGTATCTGATGCTCTTTTGCTTCCTGAGAATGGATTTCCATTTGTTGGCCTGTAGAACCTCCTTGGCCTTTTCTCAGTATGCAGGTCTACTAGTGATTATCTTAGTTTTCTTCTTAGTGGAAAATGTCTTTATTTCACCTTCATTCTTTAGGGATATTTTTGCTGAATAGAGAATTCTTGATTTAGAGTGTGTATTTCTTTTCTCCTGTAAGCCCATTAAAGATGTTGCCCTACTCACCCTCCTACACTGTTGGTGGGAATGTAAATTGGTGCAGCCCCTCTGGAAAACAGTGTGGAGATTCCTCAAAAAATTAACAATAGAACTCCCCTATGACCCAGCAATAGCATTGCTAGGAATTTACCCAAGGGATACAGGAGTGCTGATGCATAGAGGCACATGCACCCCAATGTTCATAGCAGCACTCTCAACAATAGCCAAAACATGGAAAGAGCCTAAGTGTCCATCAACATATGAATGGATCAAGAAGATGTGGTTTATCTATACCATGGAATACTACATGGCAATGAGAAACAATGAAATCTGGCCATGTGTAGCAACCTGGATGGACCTTGAGGGTGTTATGCTGAGCGAAATAAGTCAGGCAGAGAAGGACAAATATCATATGTTTGCACGTATAGGAGGATTAGGAGGAACTTAACGGAGGACCATGGGGGAGAAGAAGGGGGTAAATGGTGGGGGAGAGGGAGAGAGGCAAACCATGAGAGACTCTTGAATGATGAGAACAAACTGAGGACTGATGGGTGTAGGGGGGGGGGGAGGGGGAAGATGGGCATGGAGGAGGGCACTTGTGGGGATGAGCACTGGGTGTTATATGGAAACCAACTTGACAATAAACTATTTGTTAAAAAAAAAAAAAAAAAGATATTGCCCTACTGTCGTCTGGCCTTCATTGTTTCACTTAAGACATGAAGGTAATTCAAGTTGTTGTTGTCCTGTAAGCAATGTATACTTCTCTCTTTTTCATTATTATTTTCATCTTTTTGGGGGGAAAGGAGAGAAAAGGGAGGGAGTTTAAGATATATGCCTATGTATGCTTGGCCTTAAGGTAATCCTGCTTGGTGATCACTGAGCTTTCTGAATCTATAAACTTGTGTCATTCAACAAATTTCAGTTATCTTCAGCCATTATTTCTTCCTTTTATTTTTTTCTTTGCCCCATTCTGGGACTTCAGTGTGTTAGATACGGTCTCACAGGCCCTTGTAACTCCGTTTACCTTTTGTTTTCCATTTATTCTCTCTTCCTCAGACTGAATGATTCCTATTGTTCTTTAATTTCTTTCCCCGATATCTTCATTCTACCATAAAGCTCATCCAGTGAATTCTTTGATATTATAATTTTCAGGGCTAGATTATTATTACACCATTTTTACAATAATCAAATAATACTATTTCTCTATTGAGATTTCCTATCTTTTCCTACATTGTTAGTTTACCCCCCTCATGTCCCTGAGCATATTTCCAACAGCTACTTTAAAATCTTTGCTTGGGGCACCTGGGTGGCTCAGTCACTTAAGCATCCAACTTTGGCTCAGGTCATGACCTTGCAGTTCATGAGTTCGAGCCCTGCATCGGGCTCTGTGCTGACACCTCAGAGCCTGGAGCCTGCTTCTGATTTGTTGTCTTGCCCTCTCTCTACCCCTCCCCCACTTGTGCTCGCGCTCTCTCTCTCTCTCCAAAAATAAAAACATTAAAAAAAATTTTTTTTAACTTTGCTTGCTATTCTATCTTCTGGGTCATCTTGGAGTTGGTCCCTATTGCTTTTCATAATGAAATGAGTAATTTTAGATTTTGTCTTGGACGTCTTGAATGATAGGTTGTAGGAGTTCTGAATTGTGTAAAGTTTCTCTGAGTATCACTTTTTACTCAGACATTTAATCTGGATAAAAGAAAAATACAAAACACTGTCTCCCCTGAAGCAGGCAAGTCCAATTTCAGTTCAATTGTTTTAGTCTTACTAAAACTCACACATGACACAGGGTCCAGCTACAGATAGGAGATTTTATATACACAAATTGAGAGCTTTTATATATACAATTTTATACATGCATACATACAACAACTGATTCTTTCGGAGATTCCACTCTTTCCAGATGCTCACTGTCATCTCTGATTACGCAAGCCAATAAAAATCATGCTTTCAATCCAGTTTTATCCTTCCCGCATGGCATAATCTGAAGTCTGTCCTTAAGATAAACCTGTACAAATGAGAAACTCTCCCTTTGCCTGTTTATTCCTTCAAATGTCAACTTCTTCTCTAGTATCCACCTGCTTCTTCTTCCCTTAGTAAGGGTCTTATGGTTGCCCTATAGGTTCTAAAACCTCCTTATAGGACAACAGAGAAGACAGTCATGGAGTCACCAGACTCCTCTCATCAGATCAGAGACTGCCTCTGCATTAGATACATATGAATGCTAAAATCCCAGCTCCTTGGGATTTACTGGAGGGGACCATCAGACCATCCTATCTTGTCTTTTCTCAGGATAAGAATCCACTCCACACAGCCTCTAAAGGCTGTAACCCTTCCACATTGCCCATTCTATCCTCAGTGGCTTTAAATATTGGCAAGTTCTTCCTTATAGTTAACTGAAGTCTGCTACCCTTTATTATCACTGGCCAAATTCCAAATGTGAGCACCTAAGAGTGGGGACTATATCTTACCTGTATCTGCATCTCCAATGCCTAACACAAAGTAGACACTAATAGAAGTGATCAGTTAATTGATTAATGTCATTACAAACAACATTAGATACAAGTCTATACCTGCTTCATCATGGCAATTTCACAGCTACTTGTAGGGGCTATTATTTATTACATTCATCTGTCCTACAAAGTTTCCCTTCTCCAGTCTAAATGTCCTTTGGTTGTTTAATTACTCCCCATATGGTAGGATTTCTAGAATCCTCCTGACCTCCTAGACACACAACAACAGACCAAAGTCACTTAAAACTTCTCAGGAATTCATTCCTTCTCAAGACATAGAAACCCACAAAACAACATCACTCTACATTAAAAAGAAAAAGCCAAATAACCCATAAAATCTTAATTTTTCTCCACTCCATCAGAGGGCTGATGTTACAAGGCAAACAAGTAAACTAAATTCCTAAGTGTGACTTGTCCCTCTCCAAGGGGAGACAGGACACACAAACTATTTCATGTTTGGGAGAGCACAGGTTGAAAGGGCAGCCATCATAAAACTAAATAAAAAGAAAAACGCTGGAATTTTAACAAATTTGTAAATGTCACATGTGGGCTACCCCGAGACTTCAGAATTCCTGAGAGTCCCAGACACAAGGAGAGTCTTTACTCACTCATCAGCTTTTTCTACACTGCTTACAAAGAGATTAAGACCAAGAAAGAGACCTACGAGAATCCCCTACATTGTGTACAGGCATGAAATCCTACCCATTTCTCAGATCCTTCTCTCATTAACAAAACAAAACAAAAACAAAAAACAGAGAAGTCATAAGCCTCTGAAGAAGATCAGTCCCAAGTAAAGGTCACTGCCACTAAAAGAGAGCTAGATGCAAAACAGGTCTGCCTCTGGGGGAAGGGGGAGGAAAACACATTCAGTACAGCATCTTGCATATATAGAAAGCAGAGACCTGCTACCACTGGAAAAGGGACAGGAAATTCGCTCCTGCTCAAGAGTCCTTACCAATATGAGACAAAACAAAATTCATGTCTGGAACCTACGCCCACAGGACCTGCCTAAGACTGAACCTAGAGCATGAGAAGAAACCCTCCCCATTACCACAAGCTTCACAGTGAGTAAAAAAGCAAGAGTAGGCTAGCCTTCAAGGAGGGGAAAGGGCACAAAGATCCATTCTTTGATGTAGGCATGTACACCCGGTTAAAATTATGGATCGTGTGCAAACATGAGGAAAACTCCATTTCTCCAGATTCCCCCCTAAGCATAAGGTAGCAGGCAAGCCACCACTGGAGGAATTGGAGTCTGTCTTAAAACAAAAACTCAGATCCAGTTCAGTTACTGACTCAGCTACCCACACTAACATCCCAACAGACACGTCTCCATTTCCAGGTGTAAATACTACTTACCTCAGTCTCTACTGTTCTTCTACATACTTTGTCCAGCATTTCATCAAAAGTTATAGGACACACGAAAAGCAAGAAAAATAAAGTACTCTTGGTCAGAAGACGCAGTAGTCAACATTACCAGAACCAGAGGTGATTCGGGTGTTGGACCTAACAGGGGCTTAAGAGAACTATTACTAAATTTGATGGGGGTTTTTTGATATACAAGTAAAGATCATACATGAACAGATGGGTAATTTGCAGAAAAGAAAGCAAACTACTAACAAAAGTAGTAGTAAATGAAAATGCTGGAAATAAAAAACATGATACCAAAGAAGCGTTCCTTCAATAGATTTAGAAGAGTACACACAGCTGAGTAAGATTTATGAACTTGAACAGAGTAAATAACCCAACTAACAATGAAGAAAAAAGCTGAAAAATATAACAGAGCATCCAAGAGCTATGGGATGATCTCAAATAGTGTAACATATTTTTGGAATTCTGAAGTAAATGAAAGCAGAAAGCAAGGAGAAAAAAATGTTTTAAAATTGGCAAGAATTTTCCAAAACTAACAAAAACCACGGTTCAAAGAACCTAACAAATCCTCAAGTGGGATGGCGAGGGGGAAGAACATAGGCACATAATAGTAAAACTACTAGAAAACAAGTATAAAATGAAAATCTTGAAGGCAGTCAGAGAGAAAACATATATACAAAAGAACAAAGCTGAGAATGACATCTGAATTCTCAACAGAACACAAGGCAGAAGAAAATGGGATTGGATCATTTAAGTACTGAAAAAAAAACTAATGGGAATTTTGTACACAGTGAAAATACCTTCTAAGAATGATGGTAAGGTAAGAATGTTTTAGGTAAAGAAAAACAGAATTCACTGCCAGTATACCCATATTAAAAAGATGTTAAAGTTCTTCAGGCAAGTGTCTGGTACCAGAAGGAAATCTGGATCTATACAAAGAAAGTCCTTCAGATGCGATAAAAATGTGGGTAATATGACAAACATTTTCTTAATTTCATTCTCCTTAAAAGATAACTGGTTCTGCAAAATATATTTAAGTTTGCCAACAGATTAAGCTAAATAAATTTTAATAGAATATTTTAATTTTCCAATTACAGTAAGCAAATAGAAAAATACTTTTCCTGGTTTAAAAAAAGGGGGAGTAACTCCCATCTAAAGAAAACAAATTAACTGGGAGTTTAACACATGTAGAACATGTGAGACAACCATAAAATAAAGGATAGGAAGAAGGAAATAGAAGTATACCATTGTAAGATTCTTAAACTATACATAAGGTGGTGCATTATTTGAAAAGTAAACTGTAATAAGTTAAATATATTTATTATACACACTAATACAACCAAGAGAAAAATTTTATGAGAAAATATCTGTTTTTCTGGACATAAAACAGAATCATAAGTATATACAAACAATCTAAAAAGTAAGAAAAGAAACAAATGGAATAAATACAAAACTTAGAAAATGTTAGATTTAAAACTAACTATATCAATAAATTATATTAAATGTAAATGGCCTAAACATTCCAAGTGAAAACCAGAAATCATCAGACTGGATAGGAAAGAAATTCACTGTAAATATAAATACAGAGATATATTAAGAGTAAAAAGTAGAAATATGTACCACACAAAACCTGAAAGCTCTATAATACAAAGTAGGCTTTAGAACAAGGAGTATTTTCAGAAACAATCAATTCATCAAGAAAATGTAACAAATACAATGCATCTAAAAACGGAGTTCCAAAAACCATAAAACTGATACAAATGAAATTTTAAAAAAGCACAAATTTATTAGAGAACTTCAATATTCCTCTCTCAGTAATTTGTATAAACAGTATAATAAAAATTCAGTAAGGATATAGAAGGCTTGAACAACACTATAAACTAACTTGATTTAACTGACATTTACAAAAGACTCCAACAAGAGGAGGTTCCACATCCTCTTCAACAACCCATGGAATATTCACCAAAATAGACTATTTTCTGAGAAAATGTTTATAGCTGCTTTGTGCATAGTAGTCAAAAACTTTAAACTCAATCCAAACCCCAAATAAGTGGTAAATGTTATCAGTGTATCATGGTACAACCAGACAATGGAATACTATTCAGCAATAAAAAGAAATGAACTACTGATACATGCTACAACATCAATCAGTCTCAAAGCATTATGTGAAGTGAAAGAAGCACAAAGGCTGAATAATATACGATGCCATTTTTATAATATTTTAGGCAAAGGAAAACTTAGAGAAAAAAGTTGTATCAGTACAGATCAGGAGCTGGGGATAGGGAAAAAAACACTAAATGAAAACAGCGATGAAAGTATTCCATCTTGATCGTGTGGTGGCTACATGACTGCACATATTTGTCACAAATTATCTAACTATTCACTTAGGGAATTTAATGTGGGACGCCTGGGTGGCTCAGGTCCTGATCTCATGGCTCATTAGTTCAAGCCCCACATCAGGCTCTGTGCTGACAACCTACAGCCTCCTTTGGATTCTGTGTCTCCCTCTCTCTCTGTCCCTCCCCCACTCACACTTTCTCAAAAATAAATACTTAAAAAAGTTTTTAAGGGAATTTAATGTAAATTTTATCTCACTAATCTTTTTTTCAGAATTTCAATTTATTTTTTTAATACATACTATCACCCACAACAGAAAATAATACTAATATAATAAGCTGATAAGAATATACTCTTAATATGGTCAGATCAGCACTGGACTTGACTTACCTTCCTGGAAGACATTTTGAGGGACTATCTCATCCTATTGCCTCACACAGAATTTCATTAAGGTACCATCACAAGGTATAAAGGTTCCAACACTTACTTAGATCTCTTTTATGCCCAGAGACGAGAGATAAGAAATATTACAGATTTCAATAACATGAAAGCATATAGAAATTTATTTTCATATTTGGAATGGATAACCAGCATCTGGTTCTGAGTTGTCCTCCTTAGTGACAGTGAGCATTCAACAGGGAGTTCTGGAAAGCAGAAGACCATCTGGGGAGTTTTTGCTAAGAATAGGAATTATCCTTCATCACCTTGCGTTGATATCATATTGTTAAAATATTATGGGCTGTCCAGGTCAGAAGGACTCTAGTTAGCAGAGAAGAAGGCCTAGGCTGGGTCCTGGACTCCTGGGTCCAACCCAGGGTATTAAGATAAAAATAAGAGTTTCTCAGTCTTGGATTAGGAAGCCTCTCCCACATCTCTTCCTTGGGCGAAGCCAGGGATGTCACCAGGGGATGTCAGTACTGGACACTCATTGTTAAAGGTTAATCTGCAAAAATATTAAAATGCCATCCTGCTCTGAAGAGCAGTCTCTGGAAAAGTTCACAACGTTAGTACCAAACCCAAAATAACTTTCTTAATTACCCGGTAAGGGCTCCCGACAGGCCACCTCTAGAGAAACATTTGTCCTCTGAATGTTTTTTCTTTTAAATGCTATCTTTCACCACGGTGTTTATACTTGCCACAAAGATACAGTGTGATTAATGCAGGAAAAATAAATATGAAAAGCCTTACAATCAAATTAAGGAGGGCACTTGATAAAATGAGCCCTCTTCTTGTGAGTAATTTCAAAGAATAACTGTTTTTCATTATAACCTCAGCTCCCAGCAGGTCCTACATAAACTAAGCCAGCTGCAGTTCAAGAAAAAGGTCCAAAGGAGGACCCACTCAAAGTGTGGATAAATCACAATTGTGATCACAGACTAGGTTTCTATCTTTTTTATCCCCCTTAATAAATTGGGCTTGACCTGAAACTCTAAGAAAGTTAATTTAGAACAGCCAACTTTTTTTTTTTTTTTTTTTTTACATCACAGCTCACCTTTTTCTTTTCTTTTAAATTTAAACCATTATGACAAATGGAGATTTATTATATACCATAAACACATGTGGCTTGAGAACTGGTATTTAGTCTGGAAACTCAGATGGGGCAGCAGGCTGCTGGAGCAATCAGGAAATGCCACGTGACATTCTTGATAAAGATGAAACACACACATTCCACAGCACTTACTGTGGCCATTGTGGTTTTGGCCATTGTGTGGGCACCATGGACTCAGTGCAGGCTATGAAAGGAAAGCTGATTCAGTTAGGTCCCAGAGAAGTTCTGTCTGTCAGGCCACATTCACTCAAATCAGTGCTAAAATCTTTACAAAGGCAACTAGAACTTGTAGAGATGAGCAAAGACAGGCAGCTTCCCAAGACACTTCTCTAAGCTTGGCCTGCTCTCATCCTCTTTATCTCCTCCCAACACAAACCCTGAAAGTGGTTCATGTGTTTTGGTCCAGAGATACTCAATAATGCTGCACAGAATCATCCTGAAACATCAGGCTGGGTTCACTAATAAGTAAGTGAAATCTTCGCAGATGGTGGATTACGAACCTATTTCCCACCATGCTAAGACTAGTATGAGACTCTT